CTGCACCAGCTCCTCAGCGATGCATTCATCTGCTCCATCCTCCAATTCCTACCCTCACCAGCTCATGGCACTGGGAGTAAAGAAGGACCTCCTTTATAAATTCCTGCCTAACTTCCAATATTATCTCCTCCTTTTCTCTTCTTATGCCACTAGTTCCAATGTGTGCAACAACCTCATGCTGGTCCCTCTCCCCTTTGAGAATATTCTGCACCTTCTCTGAGATATCCTTGATCCTGGCACCAGGGAGGTAACATACCATTCTGATGTATTGCTGTCAGCCGCAGAAACGTCTATCTGTGCCTCTGACTAGACAGTCCCCTATCACAATCGATTGCTTGTAACCTGACATACCCCTCGTTACATTAGAGCCAGTCTCGGTACCACAAACCTGGCTGTCAGTGCTACATTCCCCTGAGAGTCCATCACCCCCTACATTTTCCAAAACAGCGTACTTGTTTGAAATGGGGATAGCCACAGGAGACTCGTGTGTGATCTGCCTCCCTCTCCTACCTTTCCTGGCAGTAACTCATCTACCTGACCATATCTGTGGTTTTTCTCCCTTCCTACAGCAGCCATCCATCACACCCCCTATCTTCTGTAAATTCCTCATTGCCTCCAGCTGCCGCTCTAACCAATCCACAGGATCTAATAGGATTCTCAATCAAACACATTTCCTGCAGACATAATCATCGGTAACGTGTGGAAACTCTCCCTAATCTCCCACATCCAACAGGAAGAGCACATCACTCTACTAAGGGTCATCTTTGCATCCCTAATTATCTACAGACGCAGATAATAGCACGGTTCTACTGCTCTAAAAAAACACTGCTCTAGGCTAACTTAGTACCCATGTTTTATATTTTTAACGTTTAATCAAGAAACAGGTCTCAATAAAACATATAATTAAAAAAGAACCCATTCTACCCACTGTTGGAGCTTTACAAAATAAACAGTAAGGTTACACTTTAAAAAGCCACTTAGCTGCTCCCCTGCTGCCACACAGGATTCTCCACGGCTAGCTGTGAATTCCTAGCTGTTTGTTTATTTTTCTTAGATGAACTCCAATGTCCAGAGATACTTGAAAAATCAAACAACAGAGGCAGGAGCTGTGCAGATTCACTGCTGGGACAGACAGCAGTGTAGGTTTCTGTCTCCGTTTGATTCACTTCTCATGTGGTGGTTGCCACTGCCTTTGTCCGTCTTCCTCCTTTTTTAAAACATGCCATTGTTTTGACCTTTTCTCCCCAAAAGTTCCAAAACAGCTTATAAAACAGTAATTACTGCTCCTAGAATTCGAGGAAATTAGCTCCAACATGGAAAATATCTCAAAAAAAAAATGAGCAGCTGTTCCTGCCACAATTTTTTCCTGTCCTCCATCTTGGATTACCCAGAATCCTTCCTCTTTTTTTGAGCAGTAAAGGCATTCAGGGTTGTGGTGAGCGGGCGGGTAAGTGGAGCTGAGTCCACGAAAAGATCAGCCATGATCTTATTGAAGAGCGTTGCAGGCTCAAGGGGCCAGATGGCCTACTTCAGCTCCTATTTTTTAATGTTCTTATGTTCACTCACGTCAACCAGCCTTCAATAGCATGAGGGCAATGACCCCTGTGTCCTGTGTAAACCTTGGGTCACCCTGCCTGTACCACTCCATAACCACTCCCTGTCTGCGTTTGTTCCCTCTCCCAGGTCTGATGGGTGAGTGGCCTTTCTTCCCGGCTTCTGGAATACCATGAGTGCAGGAAGTGTGGTCAGTGACAGCAGTTGGAGCTCTGGGTTTCGGAGCTTAACCAGCAGCTGGTGTCAGTGCAGAGAGTCCATGAGGCTGAGAGCTCCGTGGAGAGCACGTTTCTAGATGTGGTCACTCCGCAGCTTCAGAGTATGCAGGGAAAAAGGGAACGGGGGAGCAGCAGGCAGTCCAAAAGGACCAAGCAGGTAGTACAGGAGTCCCCCTGAGTGTATCCCACTCTCCAACCAGGATTCAGTTCGGAATCCTGATGGGAATGATGGTTCATCTGGGGAGTGCAGCCAGAGGCAAGCCTATGGCACCACGGGTGGCTCAGCTGTCCGGGGGGTGGGGGTGAGGGTGAGGGGGCACAAGGAAGACTGGAAGAGCGATAGTGAGAGGGGATTCAAGAGCGAGAGCAAACGATAGATGTTTCTGCAGCTGCAGATTGGAATCCAGGATGGTGTGTTGTCTCCCTGGTGCCAGGGTCAAGGATGGCACTGAGCAGCTGCAGAGCACCCTGAGGGGAGAGGGGGAACAGTCAGCAGTTGTGGTCCACATCGGTCCCAGTGACAGAGGGAGAAAAGAGATGTGGTCCTGCAGTCAGAATTTAGGCAGCTCAGGAGGAAATTAGCAGCAGGAGCTCAAAAGAACGAAGCTCCAGATTACACCCAGTACCCGACACAAGTGAGAATAGGAACAGGAGGATAAGGGAGACGAATGTGGGGCTGGAAAGAGGGTCCAGGAGGGGGGGTGGGGTTTAGATTCTTGGGACATTGGGACTAGCTCTGGGGGAGATGGGAGCTGG